TGTTTAAATCATATAATTTAAAAATTAATTAATTTAAAATTCTTTTCTGTTAGGTATGTTTAATATATTTGGCAACACTACAGGGACAAGTCATGCTTATTGCGCAAGCTTCTAGACACACTATTTTGCGATGTCAGGCGCAGAGACGCGTTTTTATGCACAGTAGGTTTCAATTTCTGCTTAAATGTTGTTTATATTGGTCTTCTATATTATTTCTATGGGAAATTCACGCTGCATTATTGATTGCAACGATGTAGATGTTCTAGTCTTATTAATTTATTTTAAGTAGTTTTGAACTAAAAAGAGATGGTTGATAATAGGGCGAGGAGACTCGTGACGATTAATAGCAGTTCACGATTTAAATTTGGATAAAAAAACTTCAAAAAAATTTGCCTTCTTTTCATTCTGTGACAGGTCGTAATAAAACTAACCAATTGTTTGGCATTGGAAAAAGAACCTGTTGGAAAATCTACCTTGAACACCATCACCTTTTGGATGGATTTGGCACTGATTCGTAGGTACTCTGAAAACACATTCTCTAATCTTGAAAATTTTTTCATAAAACTGTATTCAAAAACTGCCAATGTTACTTCCATTACCATTTTGAGGGGATTAATGGCCTCTTTAAAATAATTCCTAAATTGCCATTGACTGAAGACGCCCTAAGATTACATTGTTTAAGATGTTTTTACCAAGCTAAGCTCTTTAAAGACCCAGATGCAGCTTCCTAATGTTGAAGAGTATGAATGGAAAATAGATCAAGATTGAAACCTGATACCCACTCTTAAGATTATGCTCGACCTGCTACGAGAAATAACAGAACTTATCATGCAAATGCAAAAAAGGTACTATACACCGATAATTTTCATACATGTACAATATTTTAACAATTTAGACTATGGAAGCAAAATTTGCAAATGCAGAAAAAAATATTGGCTACATCCGTTAATGCACCTGTATGGCACAGAAAAACTGCAGAAATAGTTTGATCATAGCCGCCAATGTTTTGGAAAATGTAGATTAATGTGGTGAATTTGATTCTGGTTAGTTTGAGTCTTGTACTTATATATTTTAATATTATTAATTTATGCTTTATATACTTCTAATTATTGAATTTTTTATTAGGAATTTATTGTATTCTGCAAAGCAATAGCCTTACTGTTTATAATCTATACTTATATATACTGTGCTTATACCTTCCACAAATAGTTTATATTTTATTTATTTTCCTCAAAAAAAAAAAAATCATGAAGTAATACACCCTATAAAACATTATTCGCCTTCATAGCGGATAAATCAATAATACCTATATAAAATAATGTAAGAGAGTCAAACAGATTGCATACATTTCATCCCTGAGAGAGACGCATACAGTCAAGAGACTGCTTCCTTTCCTGTAAAATCACGACATCAGTAATTGTTTATTGCTATATTTTTGTTAATTTAATAACAAAAAATATAAGAAAAGCACTTTTACCTTGTCAATACACAGGCGAAACTTTTATGAAGAATATTTTCTTTTCATTTAGGCCTTCGTTTTACGTCAAATGAAAGGTATATTTCTAAAAGATTTTTTAACCAAATTTGTCAACAGCCAAAATAAGTTTTAATCTACAGTCCAGTGCTCCGCAACCTTTCCTCATCTGAGGCACACCAAACTGCTCCCTAGAATTTCGTGGCACACCAAAATCTAAAATATATTTATAGCAGTGGCGTAGCTAGGTCGGGGGTCAGTTCACTCCATGTATACTAATTATTTATGGATGTCCAAACTACCTTAGTTTTTTTTATTGTTTTAAAATGTGAAGAAGCTTCTTTCAGATTTGGGGCATCAAAATTTTCACTCAGGACATAATACATATTTTTTTTTTATTTTTTTTTATTATTCAGATAGAATGAAAAATACAAATAGGTACATACATGAGAACTATACTAAATACTAGGTAGGACAGGTAGGTATACTAAATTTACTTCTGTTGACACGTCAATAGTAATAAATATTTTGACATGATGATGACTGATTAATGTGATACCTGCGCTTGCTTCGTTAAACACAAAAGTTTTATATTCGGCTCAATTTTAGACAGCGCAACTCTCATTTCTTGGTCAAGATCTTTTAAGCATGACCGTTTATCATTTTTAATTAATACAAGCGTTGAAAAACTTTGCTCACATAAATATGTTGTGGAAAACGGAAGTAGTGTGAAGATGGCCTTGTCGGTGATGCGTGGATATTCTGTCTTGATGGAAATCCAGAAAACATCTAACGGAACTTCGTCGAATTTAAGTTTTAGGGTCATATCATTACTTAATTCTGTGAACTCCTCTCGAGTTTGCAATGGCAGTGCTTCCGTGGAACTTATTGCATTGGTTGCGAAAGGATTTCGAATCCAATTGTATTGTTCCGTGTTGATAGAATGGAAATAGTATTCAAATTTTTGTTGAAGCATACTTAAATGTTGTTGGGCCAAATCCACAATCAACTGCTTGTTTTCGATCGTACTGTGGTTGGTCCTGTGATACATTTCTAGACATCCTTTTTGCAACTGTTCCTGCCAAAGTTCAAGTTTCTTTTTGAACCCTTGTAATTTATCGGAGCACGTCAATATATTTTTATTCCGTCCTTGCATTTTTTTATTAAGTTCATTCAGATGTTCGAATATATCCGCCATGTATGCAAGTTTGGCTATCCAGTATTCATCATGAAGGTGCTGGCATAGATCGTACATATCTTGACTTGAAAGAAACTCACGCACTTCGTAGCGAAGTTCAAACAGTCGAGCTAAAACTTTTCCCCGGGATAACCAACGAACTTCTGTATAAAACAGTAAGGATTCATGTTCGCTTCCCATTTCTTCACAGAGTATTCCAAAGATTCGCGAATTTAAGGCTCTCGATTTAATTATGTTTATGATCTTAATACATTCATTCATTGTGATCGAAAGCTGTTCGGGCAAATTTTTGACCATCAATGCTTCTCGATGTATGCAGCAATGTGTAATTTGTATTGACGGATTTTTTTGTTTTACACAAGATACAAAACCTTTCTTACTGCCCATCATTGCAGCAGCACCATCTGTACAAATAGCAACGCAATTGGTCCACTGAATATTATGTATTTTAAAAAAATTATCAGTTACTTGGAAAATTTGTTCATCGGTAGTTCTCTCTGGAACCTCCTTACAAAATAAATAATGTTCTTTAATAGAGTCCTCGTCAACGAAACGTACAATAGCCATCAGTTGTGCTTTATTTTTAATATCGGTTGATTCGTCGATTTGAAGCGCAAAAATTCCAGCCGAAATGATTTTTTTAATTAGTGTTCCCAAAATATCACTTGACATATCTTGGATACGTCTTTTAACAGTATCGGCCGACAAAGAAACTTTACTCACGTCCTTAACTTCGTTTGGCCCAAGCATAAGTCTAACAATTTCCATGCATGCTGGTTTAATAAGCGTTTCACCGATAGTGTGCGGTTTTTTTTGTTGTGCAATTAATTTTGCAACAAGGTAGCTTGCTTCTAATGCCTTTTCAGAAACCGTAACCGCCGATTTCATAAACTGCTTTTGTTTCTTATTTTGATCCAAGCGCCGTTGGAAAAATTGAATGTCTTTTTTGACGCAACTGGGATGATTTGTGATCAAATGACGGTTTAGTTTGCTGGGTACCATTGCTTCATTTGACAACTGTTCACCGCAAATGACGCATTCAGGCTTTGGAGCCGCTTCGTCGCCACACCAAGTGAAACCATATCGAAGGTAGTCTTGATTGTACTTCCTTTTCAGCACCTTTTTTGCTCTTTTTGCAGCACTTATGCTGGAGCTTGTGCTAGGTTCTTCGTCATCTGCTCGTGATTTCAGCAAAAATTTATCCATATTTGAAGCACTATAGTTATTTATAAAAGTAGATACTGCAACAAAACTTAGTCCAGTTCACTTATTTATAAGGCACAAGAATTTATTTATATAGCAATTCACTATTTATTTCACTCTACGATTTATTTGTTTGCCCGCGTATTTATCTGATTCACTTGACTATTCGACTCTCTCTGAGTCTCTGAGCGACGACAGGCGCGCTTATATAGGCAGTGGCGATGTTCAGGAAAACATCGAGTCGCGCCTCGAACGGCACGGATCTTTCTAGTTTAGTCGCCTTCGAGAATCAAGCCGCCGCGCCGCGCCGATAGACGGATAGACGTTTACCATCGGCGCTGTTGTCAGATTGCTTTATTTTTCGCGGGTCTCGCTACAATACGAATCTGATTCGTATTGTCTGCAAGAGCGGCACACCTCAAGTCGGCTTACGGCACACCAGTGTGCCGCGGCACACCGGTTGCGGAGCACTGATCTACACCATACTTATATTGGGTGCTATGATTGAACGTTTACGTTATCCGTAACGTACATGTTAGGCCGAGTTTTAACAGTAAAGAGACAAATTCGTATGATGTAAAGTCTTTCATAACACATTACTGTTATTTTCCGCCTGTTATGTTCTAATTTAACAGGTTTCCATCATACGAACTTGCCTCGTTACTTTTAAAATTCGGCCTAACATGTACGTTACGGATAACGTAAACGTTCAATCATAGGACCCATTGTAAAATACCTAACATTATTTTGTACTATTGTAGAATTATTTTCGGTTCCTTTGTCTCAACTTCGCGCGTTAAAGTTTAGAATATACATCCCTCGTATCTACATGCAATTATTAAAATTATGAATGAATGCTGATTTTGTTTGGTCTCGGAAGTAATTTTGTAGTATTTAGGCTCCACCCTTAAGTTGTAATTTTTATATCTACTAAACTACCGTTGCCCCGCAGGTCTTTTAGTTTGTAATGTAAATTTTCCTCTTAAATCAATAGAAAATCAAAATGAATGTTGCTTAAAAGAAGTGAATGATCTAAGAAATATAATAGACAATATACAGAAATCGAATAGTAGAGTAGAAACAACACAAACACCAACTGCTTGTGAAAAGAATGGCAGAAGGGAAATGACGGACGTGAAGAGTAGGATACCTATTTTATCTGATGAAAGAGGAAAAGGACTAGATAGAGAACTTAGACGATGTTATAATGGAAATATAAGGTATAATATACAGACTATCAGTAAACCTGCGGCACATTTAGAAGGAGTGGTGGAAGATATTGTAGCTTTAACAAGTAATTTCACTCTTAATGATTATGTAATTATAATTGCGGGAACCAATAACTTTAGAGAAAAGCGTTATCCATCTGTAAAATTTATATATAATAGGCTAAAAAGCATAAATACAAATATAATATTCACCACTGCTCCACGTAATGCAATGGATTATAATGTTAAACAATGTGTTAATAATTTTAATAATATTCCAAAAATTAATAAGTATTTACAAGGAAAAGTAGCAATGGTGAATATTTTAGAAAATAGAGGAGAATTAGTGAGTAAGAATATTATTTGTAAAAAAATTATTGCAGAAATGGAAAAGGTGAAAATTTAATATTTGTTAACATTGAAGAAAAATGTAGCCCATTAGAATCATTAAGTGAGCACCCTGAGGATAACTTGAATAATAATAATACTAATAATAATAATAACAATAATAATAATAATAATAATAAGTCCCTTTTTAGGAAAAAAATCAAATGGGACAAATAATCATAGATTAGATACTTTTTTGTTGTATATGAATTGTCAAAGTTTAACTGCACATTTTGAAGAAATTAAAAATTTTATTATTAATAAAAATCCACTGATAGTTTGCCTATCAGAAACGCATTTAACTTTAGATATACAGAGTGGCTCACGCTCAACGGGACGGAGCTTTATGGGAAAACGACCAAAGATATGAAAAATTCGTTTGGGAGGAATACGTAGGTTACAGACGGCTACAATTTAAAATTTGTTAGATGTATACAGGATGTCCCACATAAGAGAAAATATACAAAGTTATATTATTTTTAATGGAACACCCTGTTTTTTATTTTAGAATTAAAAACTACATCAAAAATAATGTCAGTTAAGTAAAGGTTCCCTATTACTATTATTATTAGTTTTCGATTTATTTGAATTTTTAAGGAAAAAAAGTCTCCCAGAAATTAATTGTTTACTCTTGTTTGAATAATTTTTAATGAACTAATTTTTTTTCTTGAGCGTGAGCCACCCTGTATAATATGTAGAGCTGATAGCAACAGTCGACATACTGGAGGAGTTATCATCTATGTGAATCAGATATTAATCAAGTAATTTTAGATAGAACTTATTGGTTAATTTCAGTAAAACTCTTACATAATAACAAAAAGTTTATGATAGTATGCCTTTATAGATCTCCTAGTACTGAAATGCATTTATTCCTAGACTTTTTTGAAGAATGGTGTGAGCTGAATTTAACTGATGCCAACTTAGAAGTTATTTTGGTTGGGGATTTTAATATTGATTGGCATAGTAATTCAACTTATCCAAAAATATTGTTACTGATACAGGTTTTGAGAATGTGGTAAAAGAATTTACACATGCAAATACTCATGGAGGAGTGATCAAAACCATATCTTTTAAAACAAACTATTTGAGGCGCTGTTCTCCACATCTCAGCAAATGGGCTAAAATAATAATTTATAATACTCTAATATTACCTCATTTTAATTATTGTGCCACTATACTGTATTTGCTCAACCAGAATGAGTTGCAACGATTGTAAAAGTTGCAGAATAAAGATATGAGGATAATACTGAGCTGTAGATTGGAACCAATCAGTTCCATGTTGAATGTGCTTCAGTGGTTGCCTGTTAAAAAATATTTGCTATTCTATTCCCTGCTTTTTATATTTAAAATTAAATCAGGAATCTCCCCAGTATATTTACAAAATATTTTAAGTTATAATTAGGATGTTCATGAACATAATACACTTAATAAGAAAAATTTTTAGAGTTTATAAGGCCACGAAAAAATGTACACAAAATTCAGTGTTTTTTAAAGGTGTACAGGCTTTTAATAATTTGCCTGAAGATATTAAATGTTCTTCAAACGTGGCAATATTTAAAATAAAACTGCATGAGTACCTGTAGACCTATTGAAGTTTTTTTTCTCTTTCTTGTTCTTTTATTATGTGTTGTATAGTTGATATGTAAGTGTACTGTATCTTATGTATTTTTTATTGTATTTTAAAGATATGTTGATTCTGTATTTATGTATTATATTTTAAATGTGAAGATGTATTGACATGGAAAAATTAATTTTTTTTTGACTAAATAAATGATTTATATATATACATAAAGCATTACTTTTATAAGTGGGATGGTACTTACTTATTAAATCCAAGTTCATTTCTATCCTTGTAGTTGTAAAGTATTTATTAATAAATTAAGTTAAATCAACAATCTTTAACATGTTCTTAATCTTAATTATCTTTGAAGGACCCGGTACTTTACCTGTATATGATTTACATGAAAACAACTAATTTAGACCAATTAATCTGTTTTTAAGAAAACAATTATGGCAATATCAACTAATAAATCATTCTCTGTATCAATCCCTTATGAAAAGGCTACATAAATAGAGTCAACTTAATGTTATTAATTTTTTATACAAAACCATACACTATAGGACCATTGACCTCTAAATAAGCAAAATCTATCTACAGCTATGTTATGTTAATAACTTATAAAGCAACTATTTATTTACAACCTGACAAAGACTTCGAAGAGTCCATTGAGATTGCAGCTATGGTATTTTGAATCTCAGTAATAGTATTTCCTAATTTATTAACTTGCGTTTTCTCTAGAGAATTCTGAGTTGGTTCAGTGGCAGATCTGTTATCTTGCGGCGGTCTGGCACTAAGTTTTAGTGCTCTCCTTTCTTTTTTCGTTAAACCATCTGGTCCAACTTTTTCGTCTACAAAATAAATATATAAAATATTATATGTTCTTTTTAAAAAATACACTTACTTTTATTTTCTTTCTTAGCTTTCTCCATAGTTTAATTTCACTTTCTTATGTATTATTAATAATTTGAATTTTATCAAATTTTTAAAAGGACGACATAACCTAACATTCAAATAAGAGCCAAGTACGTTCGTTTGTTGAACTGTCAATATAAATCAACTATTTATATAGTTATATAGATTGCTCACCCACAGGTAGATAAGCCTTTCAAGAACTTACTGAACAGAACCGTTCTGGCCCAAATGTTTTAAAATAAAATTTCAGAATTTGAATATATAAAAAATGCCCAAATTTTTAACTTCAAGGCACGAATTATGTTGGGTAATTTGAAAACATATTTTTTTTTGTGTTGTAAAGTTTCCATGTGGTCAAATAATATTAGATCTGGGGGGCTATTTTCAAACTCGAGAGAATTCATTTCTCTCAAGAGAAATGTCATATGTCAACGTAAAACCGTATTTTTAGGGCTCTTAGGGCCAGTGTGAACTCACTGACTGTTTCTCTCGGTTTATTTAGAGAGAATTAAAATCTTCCTAAGAATTTTAATCCTCGATGCCTTTAAAAACAACATTTTCACATTGACGTATGACATTTCTGATGAGAATCTTGATAGAAATGAGTGCTCCCATACTTTGAAAATAGCCCCCCTGAACAATTTTTATGACAGATAAATGTAAACAATTTTAGATCACCTTCAAAAATAACCGTATTTTGATTATGCCGATTCGCCTCCTTATCTCTAGTCTTCATAGTTAAATGTAATAAGTGTTAAATTTAATTTTGATGTTCCTTTTTAGCGCATTTCGATACGCACGTGTGGGCCCACAGTGTCAAATATCACCGCGCTATGTGGCTTGATTCTGTTGATCGGCTAAAAATAAACTTTCAAATTGAAAATAGCTTTTTAAAAATTTTAATTATTTTTTCTAAGTTAAAATTCTACAACTACGATCTGTACTACAAGAAATATAAATGTATAATGATGTTAAAAATGAGAAAACTAGATAAAATGCATAAAGTCCTAATCAGCGGTTTCCTAGAAACTGGTAACTCTGATAACGCCGACATCTGCAGGATCTGTTACTAGGGCTGATGTAATTCCTCCCCTCGAAGATTCAACTCCAAAGGGTTAGCGAGGGAGTTGAACGGTGGTATGGTCTACTGGTACTTCTTCTTGATTTACTGGCTTACGATAAGTTGAGATTTTTCTAACAACAAAAACTCCTGTTAGTAAGGCCAAAAAACAATACATAAATATTGTCCATATACTGGGGGTGTAGCGCACTCCTTGGAACTTGGTTATTGGTTCATTTTCGACGAATTTTGATTTAATTTGGTGTAGTTCATCTAGATTAATTTCTTCTAATTCAAGATTGAGATTTAATTTTGACGATTCAGAATTTTGGAATTGTAGTTCGGGAAACAACATGGGTTGACTTGAAGTTTGAAAGTTTTCTTCATTTGCGGTTTTTTTCTGTTTTGTGGTCACTGAACAGCCGACTGGAATTTGAATGAGGTAACTGCCTATGGCTTCAATGACTTCTGTTTGATCATGACATTGAAGGGTGATTGGTTCCTTTGATGGGAAAGTTGCTATCCATTGATTTGTTCGATCTAATCTTTCGAACAAAGCTTGTTTTGTTGTGATTCGTGTTTGTTGACATGTGGAGGTGTTTTGGATATTTAAGAGGGCTATTTCGCATGGATTTTCTTTCTTGATCCCTTGGAGGTTAGTTTCGCCGCAAATATATGATGTTGCTGGGTGTAGCTTAAGGCAAGGCTTGCTCATAAATGCGTAATTGAAGTTATCTTTTATTAAGTAATTATTTTTTGGAATCACTGCTTTTAACTGACCCTGTTTCTCGACTGGTACAGGGTACAAATGGTAATAGTCAAAATTTTCAATAGTCGTTAAGGGAATTTTAATTATATAAGTTATTTTGTTGTTAAATACGTAGCTCTCGATTTTTATCAGTTTTTCATATATCAAAATATTTTCTAAAGTTACTTCAAGTGGCAATTGACTGCCCTTTAATTTCCTTTGAATCTTTTGTAATTCCTTAAAGAAATCTGCGGTTTTCATGATAGTTGGGTGCATAATATTAAGTTTTGAGAATGATATAGATGTTTCTATATCTTGCAATATTGAAATAATTATTTCCAACATATTAATAATTTGAATAAGGGTGTCTTTTATTATTATTGTATTTCCTAACTCGATAGTTGTTTCTACAACTGAAGCGATTCTTTCTAGTTTTTCTTTTAAAATTTCCTCATTATGTATTATTTGATTAACGGTTAAATTGAATTTATTTATTAGTGAAATTGACAACAAATTTTGGTTTTTTATGTTTACGGCCATGTTATTCTGATTTTCTTGGAGTTGTTTTATTAATAGTTCATACCGTTCTCCATCAGTGGAGTCTAAGTTACCTGATATAGCTTTGAATATAGATCCTAGCCCATTAATGAGTCCTCTTTTTGTCCTATGAGTTGAAGGAGGAGGTAAAATTTCAACTAGTTTACTTTCAACTTTTTCTTCGGTGAATGCTAAGATTTTTAAGTAATTTGCAATGTCGCTTGAATAATATATGTTTTTTGAGGCATGAGTTTTTAGATCCCTTGAATGATTTTTCAATTTATCAATTTCCACAATTATCGGATTTAGGTCACAATAATGAATTAGATTAAAATAACTTTCTTTTATTTTAGCTGTTCCTAATTTGACGGGTATGAGTCCAAAGTTATTTTCCAGATTTTTCATTGTAATTTTGGATGAGGCTCCGAGGGTCCCAAAATATCTAAAGAAAATTAAGATTGTTTAGTTTTAAAATCATACGTGTTTTTGAGTGGGCGTTTTAGATTATTCATGTGAATTTTGTCTTGTGTATGAGTACCTACTGTTTTCTTCGTATTTCTAACTACTTTTAAAGTTACCGGTTTTTTAAATTTATTAGCGTTTTTTCGTCTATCAATATTTTTTTCAAAAACCTTTTGTTGAGGAGCAAACATATCGGGTTCCTCGCGATTTTTATTGACCTTTTCAATAATTTTATCTTTGCGATTTATTAGATCTTGATTAATTTTGGAATACAAAATTTTGGTTCGTTCTCTATGATTATCAATGTAATTATTCAATAACATTTTATCAATTTCGATTCTAAAAGGGTCGTTACTACTTACGTGTCCTTGCAATACATCAATAGGTTTAAATTTGGTTGAAGAGTGAATCGAGTTGTTATAAGCTAAGATTGCGTATGTCACTTTTAGTTTTGCGGGGGTATTTTGAAACCCTTGGTTGTTGAGAAGTCGGAGATGTTCAATTAGAGTGGAATGTAGTCTCTCAATCATACCATTTGATTGAGGGTGATTTGGTGAGCAAAAGTGAATATTTATTTTATGTAGTGCTAAAAGTTCGCAAATTATAGAATTTTTAAATTCTGTTCCATTATCTACGGTAATTTGATAGGGGGTTCCATGATGCGAAAAGAAATTAATTAAGTTGTCAGCAATTTCAGTAGAGTTTAGAGAATCTATTGGGTAAGCTTGTGCATATTTTGAGAAGCTATCAATTATAGTAAGAAATTTAGATTTTTCGAATGTAAATGTGTCTATATGAACAATTTCGAAGGGTTTTGTGGCTGTAGGGGTTACATTCATTTTTATATGCAAGGGGTTGCGTTCATATTTACTTTTTTGACAGATTTCGCAATCGTTAATGTATGATTGCACGGAATCTTTTAATCTTGGCCAATAGTATTTTTCTTTGATTTTGATAACTGTTTCGTCTATTCCACGGTGGTTGGATTTACCCTCGTGGTAGTTTTGTATGATTTCTTTTATGTCGTCTTTATTTGTAACATCCAATAATTTTTGGTTACATTTTTTCAATTTAATAAAAGGCCATTTAAAGTTTTTATGTAATATGTTACAAAATTTTTCGTATATGTTGGGACTTTCGAAATACATGTGATATACAGTATCTGGCGATACGTATTCTTTTATAAATCTTACCACATCATTTTCGAAATTATACTCAGAAATTTGTACATGGATTCGTTTTCGGTTTTCAAAAAGAACTGTTATTTTAGGTATGGCTGGGGAATGTAGTACCGAACTTACAAAAATTTGATTTATTCCGTGATTAACAGGACATTCTGCAATTGGAATTCCTACGATAGGATTTTCGTCGGAATTTGAGTGTACAGTGTCGTCATCGTTTTCATCTTGGGGTTCTAAATCGTTTAGAGTATCAGTGTCGGGATGTACTTGTAAGGATGCCTGGTCAAAGTTTGAATGATGAGGTTCAAGATTTCTCAAGTCTTGAATAATCTCGTCAAGTCTAGAATTTTCTTGTGATCTGTCTAAAATTATTTTGTCTATGTCGTCAAGAAATTCTTTAGTGTGAATCTCTACTCTGGAAAGAGCGTCCGCATTTGTATTTAATTTACCCTTTTTATATAGTATTGTATAGTCATATTCGTCTAGTTTTATTCTCCAACGTAACAATTTGGAGTTGGGGTCTTTTAACGAAAATAACCATTGTAGTGGTTTGTGGTCCGTGATAATATTGAATTTTTTTCCAAATAAGTATGGGCGGAAATATTTCGTGGCCCATACTATTGCCAAAAGTTCCCTCTCGATTACGGAATAATTTTGTTCTGACTTATTTAATGTTCGCGACGCATACGCAACTGGAAGGTCTTTTCCGATTGGTCCCTGAGATAAAACCGCACCTAAACTAACATTACTGGCATCAGTGGTTAAATTGAATGGCTTGGAAAAATCCGGGTATTGTAAAATAGGTTCGTTCATCAATAGGTTTTTACAATATTCAAAGCAAGATATATATTCGTCGTTAATTTCAATTTTTGCGCCCTTTTTTAAACAGTTAGTAAGTGGTTTAGTAATTTTTGAGAAGTTTTTGATAAATCTACGGTAATAACCCAATAGTCCCAAAAATCCTTTTATTTGTTTGGTAGTTTTTGGGATAGGAAAATTTTTGATGGCTATTATTTTATCCGGATTTGGGCGTACCCCCTCAGGTGTTACGATGTGGCCCAAGTACGCCACTTCTTTTCGCAAGAATTCGGATTTATCTAACTGGATTTTAAAGTTTGAATCACGAAGTCTTTGAAAAACGCATCTAAGTCTATCAATATGTTCTTGTAAAGAGGTTGAAAACACTATTATGTCGTCTAAATATGTTAAACATTTTTCGTTTTGGATACCGCGGAGGATGTTGTCCATCACACGTTGAAATGTAGCAGGGGCATTTTTTAACCCAAAAGGCATCCTAAGATACTCATAATGTCCCTGCTCTGTACTAAATGCGGTCTTTTCAATATCTTGTTCCGACATTTCTATTTGGTGAAAGCCGCTTGCAAGATCTAACGTCGTAAAATATTGACATTTCCCTAGCTTATCTAGAAGGTCGGTTATATTAGGTAGGGGGTACCGATCATCCACTGTTTTTTCATTAAGACGCCTATAGTCGATTACAACCCTCCATTTTTGTTTTCCTGACGCGTCAAGACGCTTGGGAACCACCCAAATAGGGGATGACCAGGGTGAATTGCTATGCCTAATTATATTTTGGTCCAACATTTTTTTTATTTGATTTTCTACTTCTTGTTTATGTACGAATGGGTATCTATAGGACTTGGAGTATACCGGGATTTCATCGTTAGTTTTTATTTGATGTTTTATTTTACTAGTGAAAGTTAATGGAGTGTTTTCTTGGTAAAATATGTCAGAATATTCTTTAATAAGCCTAAAAATTTTTGATTTTTCTTCTGAATTTAAGTGGTCTGTTCGAAATTTGGTTAAATCTATGTTTTGTTTTGAGGTTTCATCAAAATGATTTAAATCAATTTGTTGTACGGTTGTTTTATCAAATTTTTCAACGTTAATTGGTTTCGAAAAATCTAGAGTTACGGTTTCGGTTGTTTTATTTAAGATAGTTGTCATAGCTTGACCATTTTTTGCAATCGTTAATGATTCTGGTATTTCACAATTTTTTTGTTTTTGGTAGGGGATTATTACTTCGCCATTTGGAATGGACGTTTTAATTTTTATAACTTGTTCTGATCGCGGAGCTACTTTAATAAAATTTATTTCATTTTGTGTTTGGTAGTATAGCAGTTTAATTTTTGTATAAGGAGTTTGTAAATAACCTGTATTAAAATCAAGTGTAGCTTGTAAGGTTTTAAGATTATCTAATCCTATTAAACCGTCGAATATATCATGAAATTTAAATAGGAAAAATTTTAAATTCGCTTTCTGTGGGAGATTAAAAATTTTGGACGCTGGCAACAATGTGCTGTACTCGTGGGCTGATTTCTGAAAAACAGTTGATACTATAAAAGGATCGTTTCTTATGTTATTCGAAAAGAATTGGTGAGCTTTTGTTGGATCTATGAATGATTTCGACGAGCCGGAATCTATCAAAATTTTTAAATTATATTCGGGAAAGATAATGAATGGTAATTCACTTGGATTTACCACATGAAATGGTATGATTTGCGAATTTAGGTGAGGGGTTTGTTTCGAGGCTTGTTCCGAAAATTTGAATCTGGTTCAGAAAAATCAATTAGATCATGTGTTTCCGTTTCAATATTATAGTCAAAACTTTTATCAACATGTTGGTCAGGTAGGTTATTATAGGGATCAGTTATCGAAAAATTTTGTTCACACTCAGTGTTAAATAGTTCTTCCGCAATATAATTCATTCGTGGTGTTTGATTTTGGTTAGAAGGACCTTGGTGATCATTACCGTATTGGTTCATAACCCGGGTAGGTGCTCTGTTATTAAAAGTATTTCTGGTCGAAACACTCATAGGCGTTGGCCTAGGTAAATTTTGATTTGGAATTTGGTTTGGTCTAAAGGCGTTTACATTTCTATTTTGTTTAAATACTTGTGAATTAGATGGAAAAAATTGATTTCTTGGAACCTGAGATTGTACAGGGACGGGCCCAGTAGGAAAAGGACGTCGTGCCATGTAGTTATTATTATTATTTGCATTTTGAGGAATAAAGTTCGTTTGGTTATTGAAATAGTTTCGATTTTGATAATTTTGATTATTAAAATTTTGTCTTGGCTGTTGTCGTGGTTGTGAAATAGGTTGTCTAATTAGATTCCTATTCTGAAAATTTTGAAAGTAGTGTATGTTATTTTCTTCCAAAACACACTGTAGCGCATTATTTAATGAGTTAGGTTTCATACAACGAATCGTAGTACCTAAAGGTTCTTTAAGACCTGACAAAAATGTTTTTAAAGCTAATTTATTATAAAGTTCCCTTTTTAGTAATTTACTCTCGAGAGTTTCTTCATGTAAATCTACAAAGCTACAGAGGAGATTTAGTATATTTAACACCCTGTCATAAAATTGTTGAGGTCGTTCATTAGGATTTTGTCTAAGCAAAACTAAGTCACGATTTAAACAAGCTTCATCCCTTTGGTCTGCAAAATTTCTAGTAAGGGTATCTTTTAAGTTTTCCCAAGTTGCGACATTTTGAATGTTCACCACTAACCTGGCGTTCCCTTTTAATTTAGAAACAAGTGAGTTTAACAAATATATATTTCGGAAATTATTCGGCTGATTTGCTATATAAAAACTGGCAATGATTGAATCACAAACTGATAAATATCGATAGAGCTCGTTCGGATTTCCGTCGAATTCAGGCACGCAATGCAAATATTCCGGCTTGAATTCGGCCATATCTTCCGAATTTTCTAAATTTGTTTCACTATTTGTTAAGTTAGGAAGCGAAAAATTATTATTTTGTGAATCTATATTTTCAATTAAATTAACTTGAGAGTTATCAGAGTCAGTTAAAGTGTTGTCGATATTTAAGTTTTCTAAAGAATTCAATAGTGATTCGATAGACATAAATAAAAGTTACTCACATTAAAATAAAACTGATTTTGAGCATATCCCTGCCTATAACTATAAGGAATCGAATTTTCTTCTAAAATTCGTTAGCCTTGCAGAACTGGACGATTTTGTTCCAATCCTCGTTGCTATTCGACTTGGGGTTCTTCAATGGGTCTTCGATAGACTGGGTTTCTCGATTTCTTGAGAGCCACTCCACATCCAACACCTTCACTCGCGAATCACAACAGTTTTATTGTTCGATATCTGGTTAATCGTAGAGACGAAAATCGAGCACGTTCGATACGCGACAATTCCAGATATCCTACTGACTGCGCCAAAAATAAACTTTCAAATTGAAAATAGCTTTTTAAAAATTTTAATTATTTTTTCTAAGTTAAAATTCTACAACTACGATCTGTACTACAAGAAATATAAATGTATAATGATGTTAAAAATGAGAAAACTAGATAAAATGCATAAAGTCCTAATCAGCGGTTTCCTAGAAACTGGTAACTCTGATAACGCCGACATCTGCAGGATCTGTTACTAGGGCTGATGTAATTGGCTTTGTTCTTCCAGTTTAATAAATATATAGTTCAATGAATGAAACCCGCTCTTCGTCTTGTAAATTACAGATGGATGAGCAATCTATATAACTATATATCATTGAACACACTACGATTTTTATTTTTTTTTTGTTTTTCATATCAACGAAACGGTTATGTCACTGTCATTGCCTGTATTTATAAAACTAACGTTTTTAAATGGGATTTCCAATGAGTTTTTTTTACCAACATAAATAAAAATAACGGTACGTCAAACATGACAACGATTCCAAGATAAATACATGTTTAATTAATTAATTAGTGAACGTAAACATTTATCTCTACGAAAGATTAATTATTTTAACTTATCGCTCGAAATTGAATGTTTTTTGGATCATTTTATGACATTAATTTGTACCAGTCGGTGTAGTGAAGGATACAAAATTTTGATATAAACATCCGATTGGTTCGTGTTTTGCCAAAGTTATTTTATCTACTACTATAATCATGTATTCGGTGAGTAAAATATTAATTTCCGGTTTACTATTCTGAGTCTGAGTCATTTTCAAAGAATATACTTAAAAACAAATGAATATTAATTATTACCGTATATCAAACTCGGGAGTATTTACACCTATCTTTAATGTTTTCAACAATCAAGATCAATATAAGTAATTTTTAAACATTAATCTGTATATTATTGTTGTATTTATTAAGTATAAAACAAATTTAATATCAGATTTGTTTATACAACTTTGTTGTCTTTTAAACACAAGCTTCATTTTTAAGGTAGGTAATTATTTTCAATATCTTATAAACTTTGGTACATATGAATTTAAATTCTCTAGAAAATTGTTTACATTTCTTACTTTATTGATTAATATTTGATTATAACTAGTAAAATTGATTTTACCCTAGAGTTTTATATCTTTTGTTTAATAGTGATAACGTAAAAAAGGCAAACAAAGTTGTTTATATAATAAATATAACTGGTGTGAATGAATGAATTTTTAGTATAAATATATAGTTTTTGAACTGTTATTATTTCATTTCGTGTACATCAATATCACCTGGCAATTAAAACTTCTATAAACAAAAATATAAGATGAAGAAACAACTGTTCAAATAAAATAATAATTATAAATGCTAAAAATCAATTTGAAAGCAGTAAATCTGTTGTAAAAAAGTATAAGATGTAATAAAAGAAGCCACAAACGAATCAAACATTCAATGAAAATGATAGATGTTGATCTTTGAGCAGCCCTAAATCTATCATTAATATATATATAACAACAATAATGGTCTCAAATGGGAACCTTGTGGAATCCCAGAGGGTATCTCTATTTTTTAAATAGCTTTCAATCTAAGTAAGAAAAGTATCAGAAATTCTTAAAATCATATTACTACACTTTTAAAATTATTTCTAATAGTTTGAGGCTTAATATTACAAGAAAATCCTTTTAAAATGATGTATAATAGTTTGAACCTTAATAGTACAAGATAAGGCTTCATGATGAATAATAGAGGACCAAGCACTGTGTCTGGTGGGACCCTTTTTAGTTTTCTAACTCTAATGGGTCATAAAAATGTCTTTACTTTAATTTTCAGGGTTATGGACAACCTCAACAAGGTTACGGTCAACCTCAAGGCTATGGCGGTCAACCCCAAGGTTACGGGCAACCGCAGCAAGGATACGGTCAACCACAAGGTCATGGCCAACCCCAGGGTTATGGTCAACCTGGCCAGCCTCAAGGTTATGGCCAACCCCAAGGTCACGGCCAACCCCAAGGTCACGGCCAACCTCAAGGTTACGGTCAACCACAACCCCAAGTCAGTCCTGAAGTTCAAAATTGGTTTCAAACTGTAGACAAAGATCGTTCAGGACAAATTAGTGCGAATGAACTCCAATCAGCCTTGATCAATGGTCAAGGTGAAAACTTTTCGACCACTGCTTGCAAGTTGATGATTTCAATGTTTGATACTGATCATACAGGCACTATAGGTATCCATGAATTCCAATTGTTATACAACTATATCAACCAGTGGCTGGCCGTGTTTAAAAACTATGATAGAGACCAGTCTGGGAGCATAGAGGAGAGCGAACTTTCGCAAGCGTTCCAACAGATGGGTTTCAGATTTTCCAATGAGTTTGTTCGATTTTTGGTAAATAAATGTGATGTTAAAACACACACTAAGATGTCTGTCGATCAGTTTATTGTCGCTTGCATCCAGATCCAGAGGTTTACGGAAGCCTTTAAAGCAAAAGACAGAGAAATGAAAGGAGTCATCACTTTAGGTTTCGAAGAATTCTTGTCAATCGCTTTAGATTGTACAAATTAGATCTGGTATTATTGTTAGGTTTATATTCAAGTTATGATCACCCCTATATGTATTTTGAATCATTTATTTTTGTACAGCATTATATTAGTACGGGTTGAAAATGTTTCATAATGTGCATGTCTGGCATTTATTTTATCGAATACTTGTAAAAATTTATACATTAAATAAGTTTTGATTCAAACAGTCTATTATTTTGGTTAAAAATCTATTATTTCTATCGCGCTACAGATTTTGCAGTTAACGAAAATTGTGAAAATCTTCAGTTTACCTTTGGAAAATTTGTACGGTTGTTGGACAATTAGTCACAATCTAAATTGCGTGTATTGAAAAAACTATTAGTTGTGTTGCATCATATAAATGACACTTTAAAACCACGCCTACTGTTACATTTCAATGCTGTATAGTTATATAGATTGCTCACCTATATGTAAATGAGACTGAACAGAACCGTTCTGGCCCAAATGTGTTTTAAAATTAAATATTTAGAAAGAAAATAATTTAATTTTTAGTTTTGTATATTTTGAAAACATTTTTATTGTGTTGTAAAGTTAAGAAATAATAATAAGGGATTTAAACAATTTTTATAACAGATAGATTGTTGCAGAAATAATATACGAAACACATAATTGCAATAAGTAATACAAAGTTGAAATAATGTAAAAATGTCATTTTAATCTCCGTTTAACACAACGGTGGAATCGACCCTTAGCTAGATCGCCCAGTGAAACCAGCTTTTCATGGTCCAATTTGCATATGGATGAGCAATCTATATTACTATATATCATTGATCATACATGACAGTTTAAAACCACGCCTACTAAAATTAAATTGCATTCCAAAAAATTAAAATTACTTTGATAAGGAATAATAACCTCTATTTTTAAATAAATTTCATAATTATATTTATTCGTATTTAATTTATTAATATACATAGAAAAATATCACTAAAGTACCTGAACAAGTAACATACCTAGTTCAAAAAACTACAGATATTAACCAAAATGTTTCAGGTAAGAACATATTTAAAGATCAAAATAAGATCATCTGTTACCAAAAATTTGTTTCGCAGCAGCCTCAAGGTTTTGTACCAAGTCAACCACAAGCCCCAAATCCAGCCGTTGATGCATGGTTTCAAGCTGTAGATAGAGACCATTCAGGTGAAATCAACTGGCAAGAATTGCAATCAGCTTTAGTCAATGCACAAGGAGAAAATTTTTCACCACTATCCTGTAAAATGATGATTTCAATGTTCGATGCAGACCACACTGGAACCATAAATTCGCAGGAATTTCAGCAATTATACGCGTACATAACTCAATGGTTGGTCGTTTTTAAGAATTACGATAGGGATTCGTCCGGTAGTATCGAAGAAAATGAATTATCACAAGCTTTTTTGCAAATGGGTTTTAGATTCTCAAATGAGTTTATTAAATTTCTATTAAACAGAAGTGATTTTAAATCGCATAGCAAAATATCCGTGGACCAGTTTATAGTGGTTTGTGTTCAAATACAGAAGTTTACTGAAGCTTTTAAACTTAGAGACACAGAATTCAAAGGAAGTATAACCTTGGGGTTCGAAGATTTTTTAAGCATAGCATTAAATTGCTCTCCTTAGTGATAAATAGCTAATTTTGAGGTTAATTTGAAATAATGACTAGTTTTAACATTATTATGTTTATACCACTTGCCTATTTTGATAAAAATTTCCCAACTTTACAGATTTTTAGAAAGTGAAGTGAAAATACTCTCTATTCATTTGATATTCACACTAACGCAAGCATTTATAGCCTAAATGAACGCAATATGCAACATTTCAATGAGAGATTATTAGAAATTGTATTCATTTATAAGTATTAATAAATTTTTAAATGCTTCTAATGTACCCTACCTGTTAAATTATTTTTTTAATGGTTAAATATTTTAGTAAATGTTATTTGTGTATGTTTTTTAATAAAAGTATTTTATTTTTTATAAATCTATGGCAATTTAACAAATCTACTCCGTACAAAGTTCTAACATTTTAATAACAAGACCAAACTAAAAACCCGACAATCGAACTCTAGCCATGGCGCATCAATAATCACATCGGCGCCAATGAAGTATACAGTTATATAGATTGTTCACCCATATGTAAATAACACGTCGCAATGCGTGCTGCAATATATATTTCTAAAATGGTTCTGTTAAATAATTTGTTTAAAACTCAGTACTACACATGAGAACTAACATACGTATGTATTAGGCCTCGCGTGTAATTTTCGTTTTTTTGTCATCTGAGTGACTAATCTATATAAAACTATATATCATTGGGTGCATTGCGATTCATATCGAAAGTGGTAGTTTTTTCAATACACGCAATTGGTCGTGTATATTTGACCTTTCATCCGTACGAGATAATATACGGCAGTGGAAAGTCATTATTTTTAAGCAAAGCAAAGAAACCATTAGGTTCTTTCGTTCGTCCCACTGGTGTAGGAATGAACTACACCAACGTACACTAAACCTTTCGTTCGGCCCGGTGTAAAATCCACTAAACCTTCCTGTCGGCGATGTGGTGTCCACTGGTGGATATTTTCCCCACCAGGGGACCTATTTTCAAACCGTGTGAGTACTCATTTCTCTCAAGATTCTCATCAGAAATGTCATACGTCAATGTGGAAACGCTGTTTTTAAAGGCCTCGAGGATTAAAATTCTTAGGAGGATATTAATTATCTCTAAATAAACCGTGAGAAACAATCAGTGAGTTTACACTGGCCCTTAGGACCCTAAAAATACTGTTTTACGTTGACGTATGACATTTCTCTCGAGAGAAATGAATTCTCTCGACTTTGAAAATAGCACCCCAGCTATTTAGCAGGAGTGAATTACACTCGAAATGTGTATAAGGAATAAGGAGGGAAGTAAACTAAGGTAAATAAGGTGGTGTAACTGGTGTAATTTACACTGGTGGGCACTACACCAATACCGAACGAAAGAACCTATTGCAACGGCTGTCTACATTTGTCAAAGATTAAAAAGTGGTTAGATATGTAATTTGTTTACGTCCACTTTATCACAGGTATCTTACATTATTTCAAAATGTATAGCAAACCATCCGAAATCCAGTGGGACAGTTTGATACCAAATTATTCGTTGCGTAAAACTTTTAAAATTTGTAGTGCGATAGTTTTTGTTATATTTTTAAAGGGCCATAACTAACCTTTTGTTTATCAATTAAAATTCTACCTAAAATGAAACTTGGGCCAATAACATTTAGTAATGTTACGTAAATAGATGAAGCTGAAATTTGCGGACTCGTATATACATTAAACTTATTACTAAACAAAACCGGAATAATGCTTTTATTGTAACTTAATACACCAGCAGGGTTATTCTACTAAATTTATAGCCCGGCTAAAAGTTTATAGCCCGGCTACAAGTTGGATTTTGAAGTTAGGAACATATAAAGTTCAAGCCAAAATCCAACTTGTAGCCGGGCTATAAATTTAGTAGAATAACCCTGCAGATGTATGTAGGTAAATTATAAATCCTTATGTACGGTGTAGTATACACTCCTAATAATTGAAATGTCATGTGTTGACAAAGCAAAAGTCAAAGTTGTCAAAATTTTAGTAAATGTTTACAGTCGAATGACGTTCCTAATCTTTTAAATGTTTTAACAAAACAATTAGGATATGAGTAGTTAATTAATTTTAAGTAAAGCGTGCTTTTAATCAAGTAAGTTTACCTATATGTAGATATTATTTTATCGTTCCTATTTCATAGATTAATGTATACTAAAATAATATTTTCCAATAAGATAGCTTTCACAAAATAATTATATAGGCACCTAAGTCGGATAATTGAGTGAAAACACTTCCAATTAAGTGTGTATGTAGTTTTGAAAACTCACTGATACGTGGTAAGTTCAATAACAATATGTTTCGAATCAAAATAAAAATAATTGTTGGACTTAGGTACCTATTTAATAAACTTTTTGATTTGATATCAACATTTTATTAATTCCATTCAATATAACAATAGTTTTTTAGTTGTGGTTAGCTCGTAAACTGTTGATTTGTTGCTCAGTTGCTCTTAATAGTTAGGTACATTTAAAATTAAATTAATATGATTTGAATCTCATAGATTTAGGGATTCCAAAACATACCTGTTTATAAGTACAAATTGGTGCTGACTCCTTGATATAATATAAAAATTTCATTTGGAATATCTTGTTAAATATTGCTTTTTGCTGTTCTCCTAGAAATAATGTTTATCAAATGAAACGTTTAATTTTAAAGGTCTTGGTATTTAATGATATATTTGTTTCATTGATACTAATATACTGACTCATTCATTCTAAAAATTTTAAGCAACATGAAAAATATTTTTACAAGAGTAATTCCCACTAGTCCATTTGAATGTTTCAATCAGGTCACATCTAAGGCTATGTTCTTTGTGTTTGGAGTTGCAAAATGGAAAGCCTTTCCAAATAGATACAGCCCTGAAGCTCTGGAGGGATTTTAGTTAACTTTTTTTGAACTTTGTCCAACATTTCTATATAACAAAATATGGGTTCCAAACTGGCATTGCAAATTCTATTTTGGGTCTTATATAGGTTTTGTATCATTTGGAGATCATTTCCTTTAAATGGTATTTGAATGCAATTCTGTTTAGATAAATCATTGTGTTTATCTTTTTTGTAATTTTAGAAATATGAGTTTCTCATTTTAAATCTGTAGATCTTTTTGTACTATAACTGTTAGCAGACTTTCACCATTGAGGTTCTCTATCCATTTACTGGATGATTTGGGGGGAGCAACCATTTATCTGACCAGCTGCTAATTGTATCAAGATCTCATTGTAAGACTTCTTGGCTTTTAAGAGGGTTGCAATAATATTTTGCATCATCTACTAGTGTAGAAGATGAATAACAATGGTCCTAGCATAGAATCCTGTGGTACTGCACTGATAACAGAATTTAAGTAAGTTCCCCTGACTCAGAGGTGTATCAATTTTAAAAGTAGGCTCATATGTGGTACTTTATCGAAGGCTTTTAGGTATATGACATCTGTTGGTTCACCATTGTCATTTTAAGTTGTCCACTGATTCTGAGATGAGAGTAAGTTGGTAACTACTGATTATTTTGGTAGAAAATCTTGTGATAGAGAAATTAATTTATTATTCTAACAAAAATCAGTGATTTCTCTGATTATTATTTTCTCCATCAGTTTGCAGGTGTTGCTTGTTAGACTGGCTTATAATTTTCAGGATTATGTTTGCTTCCTTTCTTAAACAGTGGTGTCACAATTGCATGCTTTTCCAGGTGTTTGGTACTACTCCAGTGGCTATTCAATGATTCATTAAATCTGTCAAAGGTACTTTTAGTGATTCAACACTTTTTTCTAAAAAATCTGATGTGTCCAACACATGACTTTCCTATCTAGTTATTACGGGCTTTTTTCGGTTATTTTGTACAACCTATTGTAGCATCCCTGTAAATATTTAGAGGTTAACAACTCGAAAATTCTGAAAAATTTAAATTTTATAATTTTCCTCCAAATTTTTCATTAAAATTTTCTTCTCCAAACGTAAATAACAGATATATTCCATAAAATATAAAAACGGCCTCCCATAAGTACCCCCCCAGATGTTCCGCCTTCGTCCAAAATCTAATCATTTCACCTCAGGCCAAAATAAAACTTAAGTTTAAAATTTAATGTTTTTTCCTTTGAGTTTTCTTCAAAATTCGAAATTTAAACACTTTCTCAAATATCTCGAATACGGTTCATTTTAGAGAAATTATGTATAGGATAAAAATTATAGAGAATTATATTACAAACAACTTTTATTTGAACAATTTTTATAAAAAAATAATTTTTTTACATTTTGTCAAATTTCTCGAATACGGACCATTTTAGGAAAATTTTGTATAGAACAAAAATTATAGATAATCATATTGTAAGTAACTTTTATTTGAAGAATTTTCTTCTCAAAACGTAAATAACAGATATATTCCATAAAATATAAAAACGGCCTCCCATAAGTACCCCCCCAGATGTTCCGCCTTCGTCCAAAATCTAATCATTTCACCTCAGGCCAAAATAAAACTTAATTTTAAAATTTAATGTTTTTTCCTTTGAGTTTTCTTCAAAATTCGAAATTTAAACACTTTCTCAAATATCTCGAATACGGTTCATTTTAGAGAAATTATGTATAGGATAAAAATTATAGAGAATTATATTACAAACAACTTTTATTTGAACAATTTTTATAAAAAAATAATTTTTTTACATTTTGTCAAATTTCTCGAATACGGACCATTTTAGGAAAATTTTGTATAGAACAAAAATTATAGATAATAATATTGTAAGTAACTTTTATTTGAAGAATTTTCTTCTCAAAACGTAAATAACATATATTCCATAAAATATAAAAACGGCCTCCCATAAGAAACCCCCCCAGATGTTCCGCCTTCGTCCAAAATCTAATCATGTTACCTCAGGCCAAAATAAAACTTAATTTTAAAATTTAATGTTTTCTCCTTTATCCGTTTTTGAGTTTTCTTCAAAATTCGAAATTTAAACACTTTCTCAAATATCTCGAATACGGTTCATTTTAGAGAAATTATGTATAGGATAAAAATTATAGAGAATTATATTACAAACAACTTTTATTTAAACAATTTTTATAAAAAAATAATTTTTTTACATTTTGTCAAATTTCTCGAATACGGACCATTTTAGGAAAATTTTGTATAGAACAAAAATTATAGATGGTGATATTGTAAGTAACTTTTATTTGAAGAATTTTCTTCTCCAAACGTAAATAACGGAAATATTCCATAAAATATAAAAATTACCACTTATAAAGTACCCCTCCAGATGTTCCGACTCTGCCCAAAATCTAATCAGTTTATTAGACGCTGGAATAAAGCTTAAGTTTAAAATTTGGTGTTTTTATGTGTATCGGTTCATGAGTTATGGTGGATACAGACACACACACAGACATCATCGCGAAAATAGTCAAAACGGATTCAGGGGACCTCAAAACGTAAAAATTGATTCCTATACTTTCCTTATATCTGTATACAGATAGGAAAGTAAAAAATAGCAGTTATTTCATCACTTCCAGGTCTTGAATCAGTTTTCAGGTAGAGGATGGCTTCACTATCTTTTTCAGGTGTAATAAAAACCGTTACTAAATATGAAGTTCCTGTAGGGATTATTAGAGCTGCAAGGTTTTTACCCGGGATTAGCAAACCTAAGGGATCAGTGATTAATATTTTATAATCTACATCTTTTAGGTTAATAGTAGTGTTATTTGAACATAAAGATCTTTTAATGTATGCATAAGCATAAGCTGTTTTCGTATGTTATCATAGCTTTACATATTAAAGATTATTTTGGGTTCTATGTCTTTTTTCTCTAATTTCTTTAAACCATTGTTTATTATGCCATGGTTTTAGCGAATTAGTCTTTCTTCAATCAATGCTCATCTGGAACCACTTTTCTAAATTCAATTTAGATTTTCTACAAAAAAATTGAGAAAATGTGTAAAAAAATCGAGTTTTGTATATTTTTTTTTTTTTTAGAAAAAACAGATTTAAATTTTGAGAAAGTGTCTCCAGAGGAGCAAAGATTTAACCTTTACCTTTACCACACATTTTTTTCTTTCAGAATAAGTCAAAAATTAATTTTAAAAATAGGGTATTACGAAACCCTTGCATGATCTGTTCTAAAGCCAAGTAAATACTCTTCTTAACGAATAATAAATAACTGTTTCATATTTGATAGGCTTTCTCCAATATTTTGTTTCTTATAGATTCGCATGCTAAAGCTACCATTTCGCAAGCTGAAGCAGAGACCGTGTTCAAAACGCGCCGCGACAGCAAGCGAGACATAACGGTCTCTTCACGTCTGAACACATGTAATTATATGAAACACATTTCGGTAGACGCGACAGACGACATCAGATTTAGTATAGCAATATTTGCTGCCTCACTGGTGTCTCGGTCTCCTGTCGTTTGTCGCCCGTTCCCAAATGGTACCTTAAATGTGTTTGTTTCGCCACCGCCTTGATTCAAATATTCATTCAAATTGACTTTTTTTTTAAATAAATATTTATTACTTTTCATCTCATTCGAATCCATTTTTTGTAATATCTTTGATTGGATAAATTTTCCTGCAAAATCGTTCGCTTTTTATTAACAATAATACATTGTAATTTATTAATAATTTCTATATATAGTTTAGAAATTCATATTATTTTTTTTTTAATGTTATTCATCCTACACAATCGCAATTTGAAGTTTGACCAACAGATATTAATAATGTATGCAATTGATAACATTTATTAGTACATACATAGTAGTTCAACACGCACTTTGGGTGATATAATCTCATTTCTATCAATTTCATTTTATAGTAAAAAATGTCGATTGTTACTAATTATTAATATTTATTTTAAGTGAAGTTTGCGAAATTTAAATTATTTATGGTGAGTTTTTATTAATTTTATTCTTATCAATTAATATAAACTAAATCTTGGGATTAAATTTAATAAACCTTTATTTAAATAAAGTCTTGAATTTCCATTATTTACAGGATTAACTTTCAATAATTTTTTATTATATTTATTGGAGTAAATCTAACATTTTTCGATTCTTGAATAATATAACTTAATTAGTCTCAGAAATGTCCCTATTTACGCTATTTTATTTATCTATTATCCGAGTGTGGGCCAAACCGACAAAGATAAAATTAAAATGGACCAAATCAAACTTGTAACCTTTAATAATTTTTTACCTGTCTCACCTATTTGGTATATTTTGTATCTAAGATATAAAATTTTATACAGGACCGAACTTAAACGAATTTTTTAAAATGTTGCATTTAATTTCTTTACGAAAGATGTCTGATTTATATAAAAATTTAATATATCTATTGTAGACAGTAAAAATTTCGATTAGATTAGATTAAATTTGAAATGATTTGGGTATGATCTGTGCTTGTCCATCTTTATTTTTATGTAGGTTTTAAAAGTGCTTTATTATATTCAATAGAACGATATTGGTTTTAAAGTTACCTTAATATAAACTAAAAGTTTTTAAAACCACTTATTCTTATGCAAATAATTTACTGCATTCTTTAAAATAAAGTTAAAAAAATAGTATTTGCTCTCTTATTCGTTTTATAGTACTCCTGACATTGACTATTTTAAAACTAATTTGCTATTTTAAAAGATTAAATAGCAAGTTGGTTTTAAGACAGTCAATTTGAGAAAAAATAGTTTTATTCAATAAACCCCGTGAAGAAAACATAATTTTTACCTTTTAAAGAGTACATTAAGAGTGTTTTGAAACTTTAAAATTTTAATTTAGTCAATTTCGTTGAAAGAAACGCCTTTTAGATTTTCGCAATGAGTCAATTTATATTTGATCAAAATATTGGAAAAGGTGATTAATTTTTTTCTTTTGTTACTAGTCATTATGGACTAATCTACAATTTTAATTCCTTGTCTATTTTTATGTATGAGAGAGTAATAAAACAGCATTTCTAATGCAAAACTTAGTACGGTCATTTTAAATAGTTTTACAGAATAATCTAAATATTTCCTAAAATTGTAACAAATGTACCTGAGCTATTACAAGTTTTGGGTCTTTTATTGGTCCTTTATAAACATAAGCTGTACAGAACAATAGAAAAAGGTTTAGACAGGCCAAAAGCCCTGTGTATTAAAGATTACATAGCCGTATCTTAAGATTATTTTCAATAAGTACCTATTTACCAATTTTGTTTTATTTTAATTTCAAGAATTTCTTACAGTAATCGAATTATAAGTAGATAAATACCTTCCCAACAAATTTCACCGAAAATGCGATTATAGGTTTCCATTTAGTAAGGAGGTCCAAGTTGTGTATTCTTGACAGTTTACTAAATGTCGTTTAGTTGCAACTTGCAAGGTACAGTGTGAATTCTAGTGTGATCATGGAAAATTTGGAAGGGCCGCGTAAACGACAAAAAAATCGGTCCTTTAACAGTTAATGAAAAAACATTAATATTTAATTGTTTTAAATCATTTACAGACAAACATTTATGTAAAAGTGTTGATGACACTGTGGAATTAGTTAGTAGTACGCTTGGTGTTGGGAAATCTACGATTTATAGAGTTGTTAAAGAAGAGAAATGTGGCGAGTTTCAAACAGCACGTAAAGCTCCAGGAAAACCAAAATTTCAATTAGAAAATCTTTTGAAAGAAAGACTTCGAAGGAAAGTGCATGCGTTCTTCTTTAGAAAAGAATTTCCTACAGTAGACAAAGTTCTTGCCACGGTTCGAGATGATAAGGATTACCCTGAAATGAGTCGAAGCACACTATGGAAACTTTTAAAAGAAATAGGTTTTCTATGGGAAAAGCATTCCAGAAAGTCTATTTTAATAGAAAGAAGTGATATTGTAGTATGGAGAAGAAATTACCTAAGGACTATAAAAGAAATGCCAAACCAAATAAGAAATATATTTTATTTAGATGAAAAATGGATCAACGAGGGACATAAACCAAATAAATTTTGGCAAGATGAAACTCTTACAAGTCGAAGACAGGCTTTTTTAAATAATTTATCTACTGGTTTAAATTCACCATCCGGAAAGGGGCGCAGACTAATAATAGTACACATCGGTAGTTCAAACGGTTTTGTTAAAGGTGGTTTATTAACTTTTGAATCTACTCGTACCGGTGACTACCATGAGGACATAAATGCTGATGTCTTTAAAGAGTGGTTCGAACAAATTATAGATCTTCTTTCTCAGAACTGTAAAATAGTAATGGATAATGCAAGTTATCACTCGAGACATAGAAAAAATGCCCACAACCAAGTGGTTAAAAAAAGATTTACAGAATTGGCTAAATTCAAAGAATATTAGGTTCCATCCCAGTTCTGTGAGAAAAGAACTGTATCATTTGTGTTCCCTTCATAAAGAGACATTCAAAAAATATGAAATTGATGAAATTGTAAAAAATCGTGGGATGACGGTGGTTAGATCACCACCATATCATTGCGAAGTAAACCCGATTGAACTGATATGGGCAAAGATAAAGGGAAAAATAAAACATTTTAGAAAAAATTGCACTTTTTTACCTTCAGCTGTTTAGAAGTTATACGCAGGTTAATTAGGTGAAAATATAAGTGTATACTCGAGGAATAACTTCAAAAAATATTTTAACTGTCTGCTAAAAGAAGTGGTACGCCTATGGATTATGAACGCTTTATTATTTTAATACTCTCTCATACATAAAAATAGACTATAAGAAGTCTAGTCTTAATTTTTTTCTATAATAATGTCACATCCTGGGGCTTTCTATGGGTTGATGTTTGTTGACTTTCTTTCACAACTTCATTGGAAGTAATTAGCCTAATTTATTAGTGTCATCCTCGGTTTACTATATTTCTTTATTTACTATACAGGGTGCCCCATTATTGCGTACATTTGAATTTGAAAAATGTATATAAATATGTATTTAAAAATATGATTGTGAATATTTAAATTTTCGCCACCCTATATATATTTTTTGTTTCAGTAAAATATGGGGTACTGCTCGTGCACACCCAAATGCAAAAAATGGACGACTTTCGGTGTAGCGATCGCCTTTTTAGTAATAGGATTATTTTGTGCGTTCCTTTGGGCAATTATCATTCACAAAGTTCTTAATCATGTAAGTATATAGTATTTTTATATTTTTTTATTTCTAAAAACCTTTTAAAATCATTAAAAAAAATGAATAAAAATCACAGAAACTTTGTTTAGGCTGGTATAATAGTGTAAAATTAAAAAAATGTCATCTGTATGATAATGAAGAAAAGAGACACACAAAGTCTGTCAACTACACGATCTTTAATTAGTTTTTTTTTTGATAAAAAAAAAACTAATTATAGAGACCACTTTGAGATATGATAATATTTGGAATTTAAACTGTGTGAATTAATAAATTTGAATTGAATGATCAAATTTCATTTCGATGAATAAATTTGATTTGAAATGATTATTTAACAATACCCGTATCCAAAATAATTAAATTGGTGTTATAAATTGGCTAAAAATAACATTTATATCTTTAGTGGTAACTCTAAAACAATGTCATTGACCTATTTGACAGAACTGCTAGGTAAATTGTGACCAATTACAAGTTTTTTTCCGGTTATTTTGTACAACCTATTGCATCACCTCTGTAAATGTTTAGAGAAATCATGTAAAAACAAAAATTATCGATATCGCAAACAATTTTTAGTTTAATTTTCTTAAAAATCAGAATTTTACACATTTTGTCAAATTTCTGGAATACGGACCATTTCAGGAAAATTTTGTATGAAGCAAAAATTATAGAGAATAACTTTTAGAATTATATGTCAAACGCCAGAAAATATGACAATCATACCATAAGAAAAGTACAGATAATAATTCTTAAATATTTTATTTTAAAAGTTCCAAGACGAACGTTATTAGATCAAATAAATAATTTGTATAAATAAATATTTATACAGCACCTTAAGCTCAAGGTGCGACGACGAGGATCAAAATGATTCTCCTAAATTTCATTATTTTATAATTATTTAAATGTGTTTTGAAAGAGAACAATAAAAAAGTTTGTAGAAAGCTGAGTACGCCTAAGCTCACAGACCTGTGAGTCATTCCATTTAAAATCGTCTAATTGGCAAAGCTTACCCATCTTAGATTTTGGTGTAACTTCGAGGAACTATTCCTTAGGGCAGTGGTCGCCAACCTGTCGATCGCGAGCTACCGGTAGCTCGCGGAGGCAATTCTGGTAGCTCTCACAACGATTTTAATTTAAAAAAATAAAAACTGCAAAAATCATAGAAACTTCCGAAAATTCCACAAAAAAATCTAATTGTCATAATATTAAACATAAACAGCGGCAACGTTGCGGTGAGCGATCTGCCGCTGACGCCATCAAGCTAGAATCGGCTAGAACCGACCAGCCGGACCAGCGCGTTAGTGTTCGAGAACGATCAGGATTGCTTTGAACGGGATAAATACGCACGGCGCGGCGACATTGCGCTTAGTTTAAAACTGAACGCGTAACCAACGTCCAGCGGTTGGGTTAGTAGAGAACAACAAAAAATAATATGGCAAGCAATTGTAAGAAGGTAAAGACATACCACTTTCATTCGGAATGGGAAGAACAATACTTTTTTACAGAAATTAAGAATAAAAATGTGTGTTTGTTATGTAATACTTCGGTCTCCGTTGCTAAAAAAGGAAATACTGAGAGACATCATAAAACCGTACATTCTAATTTTGAAAAATCATTCCCACTACATTCTGCCGCCAGAAAGGAGAAACTGAAACAGTTAAAAAAGCAGTTAATTGGACAACAATCAATATTTTTAAGAATAGTCGACAAAAATAAGGCTGCAACTGAAGCATCGTACCGTGTGTCCCAGATAATTGTACAAAAAAAGAAACCTTATGAAGACGGGGAAATAATAAAACAGGCGTTTTTAGAAGCTGCTGATTCAATATTTGCCAACTTTAGAAATAAAGACGAGATAGTTTCAGCTATAAAATCTATGCAACTTTCTGCTAATACAGTGATAAGACGTGTAGAAGTAATGAGCTTTGATATTTTTTTACAGTTAAGAACTGACTTAGATAACTGTGTTTATTTTTCACTTCAACTGGATGAATCAACAGATGTCGTTGACACTGCCCAGATGGCCGTGTTCGTCAGGATGGTTTTTAGTGATTTTACGATTAAAGAAGATCTTTTGAAGTTTATTCCACTGAAAGGACACACTACTGGACAGGAGTTGTTTTCTCATTTAAAAAATATTATTTCTTCCGAGAAAATTCCAATATCGAAAATGGTAGGCTTGGGGAGCGTTCAAGTATTACGTAACGCAATTTTTGGAGATTTTTAACCCCCCCTCTCCCCCATGTAACCCCTCCCCCCCTAGTTAAACGTGACAAAGTGACTATTTTTACCTAAAAATCACAATTATGTCACTCCATTTGAAATTTTGAGAAAAAACGTTTTAAAAAATGCGTGAGAGAATCTCTCTACGCGACTTTTCTGAAGAGTTAAAAAATAATAATGTTGCGTAACGCGTAGTTCAAACCCCCCTCCCGCCCCTGTAACACATCGTAACGTTTTACAAAACCCCCCTCCCCCCCAAATTCGTTACGTAATACTTGAACGCTCCCTTGACAACCGATGGCGATCCAGCTATGGTGGGTTGTGATAAGGGTCTTATGTCGTTATGTCGTAAAGATGAAACTTTTCCGCAATTTCTCTGTTACCACTGCATTATCCATCAACAAGCATTATGTGGAAATTTCCTGAAACTAAACAACGTTATGAAACTGGTGGTAAAAATTGTGAACAAGATAAGAGCTCAAGCGTTACAAAGAAGATTATTCAAAACCTTGGCCGATGACGTTGACTGTCAATACGGGGACCTACTCCTTCACTCTGAAGTCCGATAGTCCCAGGGGGGGATATCGCGCATAGTGTCATGGCGGCGCTGACGTCATGCGTAGAGTTAGTAGAGTTGGCGCCAAGTAAATATCATATGACATATGCAGGTTCCAGTGATTTGTAAGTAATTAATAGTGATTTATAACATTTTATCCGAATATCTGTATTATATTATATTGTAAACAGTGTACTTTATGAGTGGTATTAATGATAAACATTAAAAAATGAGGTACGCAGTTTAGGGATATAATAGTAACAATCAAAGCAAAGGAGTTGAAAAAGACGTTGTTTTTTACATTCCTCGACAATAAGAGGTTAGTCAGAAATGGCCAAAGGGCGGCTCTAGTTGTAGGTCCCAGAGAGCCTCACCTCTTTCTTATTTAACATTTTTACATTCCATGAGACCTTTATTGAACAAATATACTAAAACGGAAAATGTTATAGGCAATGCTACCTACTCCTCCTTGAAAATTTGACGAAGACGCCCTTGCAGTGGCCTGTGGCCGTGCAGATAACTTTAAAACAGAAAATTGTCTTGGGTGCTTCAAAAACTTTTAACTTTTTAATTATAAAATGGACCTCAAAGCAAACATTCACGTTAGTTCATTCGCAACTCAGGACTTCTTAACTGGAGACTCTACCCTTTTGAAAGCTAAAAATTTCGCAATATATAGCAGAGGTGAAATTATTTATGTCTTAAAAAAATAAAATTTCGGCATGTTGTACTTGATGATAGAATTAAAAAAACTATCAGTGACTAGGTCCAGGAAAAATGCAGTGACATTTTATTTCAATTTTGTATATACACCCACCATGTAGCAGTTATTTGTATTTGGTACATTTATTTTTATGCTTTGCATTATATTACATGTATTAAAAATATTTTTAAAAACCCGTTTTTGTTATCGTATATTGTATACATAAATCCCATCTTATTCATAAAATAAGTTGTTAAGTATATTCAATTGAGTAATATATTGTAGATAAATGAGTCATCAGTCACGAATCCTTTTCAGGTAAACAGTCCCAAAGTGCGAAATTTTAACCCAGGGTCCCCAGTTCAGAAATTCCAAGTTGGGAAGATACCCTCTCATTATCCTGGTTATAGAAACTATTCTTTAGACGTCGAGTGTTCTTCTAAATTAAAACCTGCATTAAAATTTATATAACAAAAATAAATCATTAAAAAGAAAAAGGAAATGATACTTCAAATAAATATTTCTTTCATATATGTATTTGAGTTTATTTTCCTTTATAGCTCTTTCCTTAAATATACCATAATAATATCCTTAGGGCCATTCGCACCGCTTTTACTTAGCATCTAAGTGACACTTAAGAAGGCATAACCGTTTGCACTGTTATTAAAGTTCCACTTATCAAGGCGTTAAGAATCACTTTACTAAGCCCAGAAATGTTTCAGCTTAAACCATTACTTAACCTTAAAATGTTTAATTTTTATAATTTTGAGTGATGTTGACTGTCATTGTGTCATTGATTTATAACATTTGTAAAATTGCAATACACAAAATGGAAATAATGGAAGATGATGAGGCTCTGAAAATGCTTGATTTCATTAATATAAGATACCACGAAGAATATAAAATAATATATACAAAAACGATTACTTTTACACTGCAATTTGAATTGGCCGAAGAAAACTCTTAACTGCCTTGATGAAATTAAAGCAAATTTATAGTATCCTTATAATAAATATGTAGGTTTCAAACTCAAATATTTTTACAGACAACACAATTATAACCATTTTTATAAAAAGTGTTTTTTTGTGAATCTTTTTTGTAAAATTAGCATTAAACTCATCCCCATCTTTCAACGTTAGTATGATTTCTATATTTTTTTTATATTAACTAATTGAATTAATACTAATTTTACTCTCATTATGGCTGTACTTCGTGCTCTATTTTATTACTTCTTAGTTCATCTATTTTTTTAATTCTTAGTTCATCTATTTTTTTAAATAGTCCTGTGACACAGGAGATAGTTTTTTCTCTCCTGCGCCTGTGACAATCATAACTTTTGCTGCGTTCAGTGAGACATAACAATCCCAACCGATACCAATCGCTTTCATTCTATGATACGTATTGCTTTATATCGATCCGTATCATTTGGGAGCCTTTCATTTTTGCGCCAGTTTCTGCTTCTATCAAGAAAGATGAGCGGGAAACCTCTTAAAATCAACCTAAAACGCCTAAAACCAATCG